CCTGGAGAACAACAAACCTCTCCTTTGTAGCAGCTACCATCATTTTTTACACCTTATCAGGAATTTAAAGTGGCTCTCCCAGTGGCGCAGAGGTTAGAAGATGAGCCTGTGATCGGAAAGTCGCAGGGTCACCTCCCGGTACAGTCAACATAAAAAAAAATGTGGGTGGAAAAGGTGGAATACCCACACCTGCCTCCACCCTCATTCGCCCCACTCTGGGCCCATGAGCAAGGCCCTTAACCCCCACCATCTGCTCCCTAAACAATTCTCTCTTGAAAATGAGTTCTCGTGGAAAGAAAAGAAAGAGCACCAGAGTTGAGCTTTTTGTCATCCAGTGTCTTCAGTAGAAAGAGAGACACAAAGAAACGATAAAGCCGATAAATGAAAATGAACTCGATAATTTTCATTTATCATGCGATTAGTTGATTTATTGTTTATTGCGACAGGCCTATTTGTGTATCTTTTGTTTGAAGATGGTTTGATTTATCTGACTTCCTTATCCTGGTTTTAAGAATAAATTAACGCTAAATCAACATGTTTTTATGTACTCAGTAACAGATGGACTTCAGCTTCCATAAGTTAGATATTAGACAGAGGCGAAACCCTTTTGGAGCATAGCTCAATGGGATTATTGAATAGCCTCTTGCAGTGCTCAGTGTGGACGTATGTGAGCGTCTTCACATCAAAGCCCCGGTGTTATGTGTGTTTGTGTATTCACCTGCCACGTGTGTTTGTCTATAGGGTGTGGTGTGAGCGTAGCCCTGGTAAGCCCTGAGATGAGGCCTTTTTTCTTCCTGTTTTCCATGTTTTTCATGTGTCGTGCTGTGATGGTTAATGCAGGATTGTTCTAAGCATGAACGTAGAACGAAGACCACGCTCTCTGTTCCTCAATCTAAGATGACAGCTTTATTGTCCTTGGCTACTCAGCTAAACTTTTGTCTCAGAACACAAGTATAGTGGACCTCAAAAGCGGAGGGGGGGGGGGGGGGGGTTATGCTCCCAGAAATAACAGCTCTATTGTTTTCACCTCTTCTGGGTTCTTACCAAAGTTTTATATTGGTTATTTTTTTATGACAAATTTGACACAATTAGGCCAACGTGATGTGCCATTAGGAGGAATACCAGTCCTCGTATCTTTTTTTAATTTCTTGTGTTTTTGTATGTAATTAAAAACATTCCTGCTTCTTCAACTTTCATGTATAATCAGATGGGGTGGTCGTCAGTGTCGCTCATACTGGGCCCCATAAACGCTAGCTCCTGAGGAATGTGGTTCAAACCATTAAGGCCAGGGCGCAGCGTGAACAGCGGGCATACAGCTTCCCACATCACATGATCCGTCCGAGGCGCTCTTCCTGTTGCCAAGGGCAACGGCTGACAATGGACCGGGTCTCCCCCATACCGTTCATGTGTGCAGCCAGTGCCTTCGTCTGACACTCACCAGACACAGTCCTCCCACCCCCTCTGAAGGATGTTTTTGTATTTTGGGTTGTTTTTACTCGGATCTCTCTGGGGATACTTCAAACTCAAAACATGTGTGGGCTTTAGGGATGCTCTGTTCTTTATCCATGAACCATATCATTAGCTGCAACCTCTATTAACGATACAACAAACAGTGGCATGTCTTGTTGTAGTAAATATGAACCATGTCTTAACTTTACAAAAGTCCAGTTGGTCAGGTGACTGATTAAAGTAATTAAATGCCTAGCATTCCTTGGAATGTGTGTCACGTGTTGCCTTTCATGCCAGAGTTTTAAATTAAGTTAATCTTAACAAAAGACGGTGGTAGACAGTAACATGGTGCACAATCTCACTAACTGTAAAGCTGATTGAGTTATATTTATTTTTGTGTTGGCCGTTGTGGAGTAACTGTTTTGAATTGAGAAATTTTGCTAAGAGACAGAGTTGATGCCAGTAGTTAATGGAAAAGTTTTAAACACAGTTCTCCTGTGATAAGTTCTCAGATTATGTGTTTGGGATATATCTCAGCTACTAACGGTAAATTTGATCTCATTGACCGTCACAGCCCTTTGTGTGTTTGCTAAGATTTCTTTGCAGTAGCAGCCATCTTGAGTCATCCTGGCTTCAAAAGTGATCATAAAAATGAAAGTGTGTTGCAAGTTTTTTTGTTTTTTTTTTGTGCCAGATTAGCTGCAAGCATATTCCATAATGAAGCATGCTTGCAGCATGTGAAAGAAAGAAGTTTGTTTTTTTTTAAAGAATTTCTCGCTTTTTCATCATTTGTGCATTTTGTTTCAACAGGAGATTGTTTTAGTGGAGGGCAGTCGTGTGTTTGAGTCCTGGAAGACCCCTCCCCCTCCCGTCTTCATGGAGTTTTTCTTCTTCAATGTGACCAACGCTGACGAGTTCCTCAAAGGGGCCAAACCAGAGCTCATTGAGATCGGCCCTTACACATACAGGTAAGGATGGAAATGGTCACAATCACTAGAGGCTCCTGTTTCAATAACCAAACAAATTTTGCAGTTTGAATTTTTTATTTAATAAAATAAATATTTTTTAAAGCTAGCTTATTTGTTGTTTAATTTATTATTAATTTTGGTATTTTATGTGCTCCACTTGGTCATCCTTTTGTTGCCTCCGTTATGTTTTTGTAGGGATGCACGATATTATTGGCCTATCGGTATCGACCGATATTAGCGGTAAATTTAAATATCAGGCATCGTCCATTCCATCAAAATAACTCACCGATATAAAAAGCGCTGTTTTTGTATGACAACCCAGTGACGAGGATGCCTGCAGCGCCAGCACAACGTTATGACGTCACGTGCGCCTACCTGATCTGCTCACGAGGAAGGTGTGAAAATGTCGGTGGTGTGGAAGTTTTTTAAAGCGTCGGAAACTGAAAGCAGAACTGCAATGACTGCTCAGTGTCAGTGATGTGAAGAGGAGTGAAAACGAAGTCCCACAACACTTCGAACCTAATTAACCATCTCAAGAACCACCATTCTGACCATTACCATGAGTTCATGGTGGCCAGAAAGGGAAGCGAGAGAACAGTCAACCGCGGAGAAACAAAACCTCACCAGCAGTCCATCCATCCAAAGTCCATGCAGAATAATGTAGTATTTTAATCCCACAGTAGTGAAAGCTATGTAGTCTCTATAAGTAGGTCTAGGGGAAAAATATTGGTATCGGTTATCAGCCAATTAAATTTTAGCATATGGGCATATCGGATATTGGCCAAAAATCCAATATTGTGCATCCCTTTCTTTTTGTCATAATTGTGTAAAATAAAATAAACAGCTGCAAATCCAGGACAACTTTCATACATTTTGCATACACACACACACACACACAAACACACAAACATACAGTAGGTTACAAAAATACCCACTCCCCCACTACTGTTCTCCTCTATTCTTCCTCTCCAGCCTAAAGTTTTATAGAATATTTTACATTGATTATAAGGAATAATGTTACAAACATATTCCAGATTTTTGGAATTGAATGGGGGGAAAAGCTCCTGTTGGGTAGAAATCTGAAAAAGTGGTGCGTGACGATCATATTCACATATGACAAACCAACAGAAGAATGTGGCTGTTGACCTGTCACGCCTCCGAACAACAAAAATGTAAAAAAAAAAACCAGTAAATCAACTTAAAATCTAAATTTCATCAGAGTTAACATAGTTGAAATACTCATAACAAAAACACACTGCAGTAATAAAGTAGGTTACATTATTTGTTCGAAGGAACTACTTTTTTGGGGCAATTTTTTTTTTTTGATGTGTCACCTCACATGCCTTTATAAAACCACTGCTTCAAGTCACATTTTTTTATATAGATATAATATGTAACTTCTTTTGGAAAAGTCACACAAACAGGATACGTTTTTTTTATACATAGAAAGCAGTGAAAGTCTGAACAAAAGCTTTTAAAACTATATAGAAGTAAAAACATATGTGCATGTGAAGCTAATTTCAGAGGACAAACTGTCTAGTCTGTTTTTCTTAGTTTATCTATTGCATTATTTCCTTGTGTCTCTAAGTGTATAAGTAGGATCGATTTCAAATTGGAAACATTAAGTTTTACATCTGCAAACATACACATATTGTAGAAAAGTGTGATTTTATTTAATCTCCTTATAGAGTTCTGTTGAAATATGCTCATTAGTTATTCAGCACAAACTCAAATATCATCCTTGTTTCTTGTTTCTGTTTACCTTTTTTTGTTGTTGCATAAAACCATGAAGATTAAGCATGCCAATAGTCAGTGCTTAATGAGTACCATGCTTGCCGTCATACACGTCGCAGTCCAAAAATGTCTAATAAAGTGGCAAAAAACATAAATAAGACTTGCAAATTTATGCAAAAAGGTGCGATTTATACAGCGAAAAATATGGTAATCCTGTTTTATTCTGAAAATGTGGTCCATTTTAATATGTGAAGATTTATTTTAAACTACTTCTGAAATCACTTTAAAAAAAAACAACAACACCCTAATGAGCTGATGGATTTTAATGAAACTCAAAAAGTAATCACGGGATGTATGTTAGGAACGGATTAACATTTGGAGCTAATTGTGCATGGTGGCCGCTATAGCAAATCAACATTAGCTAACACAAAAAGGGCGATAAGTTAGTGTGTTTTACAGATATTAAGCTACAATTTGTTGTTGTAGCAGCTACAGTAGAATCATCCATAACACATACTCTGATTGGAGCATATGAACAACTTGTGCATTAACAGACTTTAAAATCAAATTCAGTGTCTGCCCATATTTATCTGTATGTCTTTGTGAAAATCTTTCAAACACTCGTTTGCAAAACTAGATGAAATCTGTTAACAATACTGAATATTACATTTGCGTTTGCATAGGGAGTACAGGTACAAGGACAACGTAACCATGGTGAATAATGGAACCATGGTCTCTGCATACAACACTAAAAGCTTTGTGTTTCTGAGAGAGAAGTCTGTGGGAGACCCAGCCGTCGACGCCATCACTACTGTCAACATCCCTGCTTGGGTAAGTAATAAAATAAAGGTGTGAAATAAGTGTTCATTTGCACTGTTATTAGTTTCCTCAGATTAATTTCTTCAATTTCTTCCACATTTGCTCATGTCTGGTCCACTTCCTGTCTTTAGGCTGCAATGAACAAGGCCAAAGGCAGTTTCTTTAGGTCCTCCGTGGTGAACCTCTATATGAACTCTGTCAAGAGTGGCTTATTTACCACACGCACTGTAGATGAACTGCTTTGGGGCTATGAAGATCCACTGTTGGCCCGCATATCTGCAGCTAGTCCTGAAGTGGAGAAGGACTTTGGCCTTATGCACAAGGTATGTGTTGGTCTAAGCTCCTCCATCAGGTGGGCTTTTAGCACCTTACATATGAATCACAGAAGAAGAAAATGAACGAATTATAATTGATTCTATCATAAAGCGCAGCCTTTTTTGTTTTTCTTGGTGAAATTGGATTGTTTTTGAGCTATCCTAATGGGCTGAATGTTTGTTTGACCTAGAAAAATGGGAGTAATGATGGAGAATTTGTCTTCCACACTGGAGAACAGAACTACTTGGATTATGGCCGGGTTGACACATGGAAAGGTCAAAGGTTAGCACTGAGGCTGTCTCAAACAAACACAACCCTGCTTGTCTCTCTGTATACTCAGTAGTGAAACCTCCCTGGATATTTGAATTAACACATTTCTCTGATCTGCTGCTTTATGGCTACCAGTCTGCTTGCCTGCTGGTCTTGGCTGCTGCTTTTGGCACACAGCATGGCAGGACATCTTGAGAACTGGAATGCCTTAGCCTTAGGATTGTACTGACCAATCTAATCCAAAATCCCCATCTCTGGTCCCCTAATAGTTCTAATTGCTCTCTTGCTTCTGGGAAACTGCTTTTTCAAGTGTGTTTGTTGATCAAAGCATCTTTCATGATTGTAATTTCGTCCTCTTATGATAAAGATGACAACGTTGTTGATATTGTTGGTGCGGATTTTGCCAACAACACTTTCTTCTTTCTTTTGATTTTTTATTTTCAGACTACATTTTTTTTTTATGTTTTGTTGGTAAAATGTTTTGTTAAGCAAACAAAAAGTTCATATATATTTATTTTGTCTCGTTCTGGTGATTTAAAGAAAAGAGAAGAAAAAAAAAACTCAAATATTTTTGACATTTTGTTGTTTTGCAGACAGCTGACTTTCTGGTCAAGTAATGAGAGCAACAGCATCGTTGGGTCAGATGGAAGCACTTTCCATCCCCTATTGAACAAGGATGAGCGCATTTATATCTTTACTCCAGACCTATGCAGGTAAAGTTCAATACCACACCACCTGCTGCCTTAAAGTCCTATGACTTTAAATATTTCCCATGCTTAATGCATGTTTTATTGTTGTTTGCATGTTTGCTCCTATGAAGCAAGGCTCTGGATTGCCAGAACTAGTTACACTTTTGCACATCCTTAATCAAGCTCAAGGTTTCTGTTATCGCAGTGGGGCTGCTTCTGCTAAAGCTGAAATGACAGACGCTAAATATTCCTTTGCTGGAGTCAAAGAAGGTGGAATTGTCTCTGATGGTATTGATTTCACAACTTAAGCATAAAGCACACTTGCCAAATGTTTGGCTAAACGTCAAGTCTAAAATGTTTCCAGCTGTTTGCTGACTGGTCAGAGCAAACTGAGCCAATTTCAGGAGTTGAACCTTAAAGGAACAGGAGCTAAAAGGGAATTCTTCAGACAGATGGTGTCTAGACGTCCTGCAACAAATTAACGCTTTGAAAAATGTTTTGTTTTTCATATTTGGACATTTTAACGTGCAAACATCCGTTATTGAATCTCAAACATGTTTTTACATTTCTGAAAAAGCATCCTATGTGATGTTTAGCTGAAACTGGACCCTTTAAAACTGTTATTGGTAAGATGAGCTGGAACTGCTAGGATCCTTCATGAACGTGGAAAGGATCCAAACACAGGAACGACCAGTGACAGACTTATTAATGGAGACTTGCATAAAAAGCAGTGCAAGGCAGGTAATGTATAAATTAAAAAGGGACAAACGGGACATCCCAGGCAAGGTACAAACAGATACAGACCAGAACACAATGAAATAGTAACTAACTGGGCAAATTAAATAATATAAATACCAAAAAGGAGTGAACAACAGACAATAACTTTGATGTTAACAATTACAAAGGGGAGAATCAGATCAACAGAAATCTACAAAGTAAATTTTTATCCAGAGTAAACCAGGAAGTAACATCCTCAGAACACAAAAACAAACCTTGAACAAGTACTCAGCTAAAATCCATGAGAGGACCTTTGCTCAAAGGGTTGGCCAGTAAGGAAGAACAAGGCAAAACCAAGGGTGGAAGAAGGCTAGAACAATCACCATTTCAGAGGTTGAGACATGACATCCTGAAGCAACCTAAACACTTGTCAGAGATTGAAATGTTGGTAGAGGTGTGTCCAGCCTGAGCCCTTTAGACATTTTAAACCATGTGGTGAATGAATATCTCGCTGGACTTCTGTGGAGACTGAAACTGGACATGGAAGTAAGATGGCTTGCTTGATCTTCGGTAAAACTGACACCAGACATTTTAAAGGGGTGTCTGACTGGACCCCCTCAGAACCTGAAACTAGACTTTGACATGGAGAAGCAACAGCATCACAAAGTGAGTTGTGCACCCCAAAAAGTGATTCTGGTTTATTTGTATCAACCAACATGGAAGGTGGAAAACATTGCCAAGAGTTTCACTTCCTTCATTGCCAAGTGGAGACCCTTGGCATATTGTTTTTGTACCATTAATGCTTAGCCTATTCTTAGTTTAGCATATTTCTTAGTTCATATGTTAGATCTTATTACTGTTTTTCTTTTACAATTTATACTTTTGTTGGATGTAACTGGGACCCCGTGTACACAATTTCGTTCCATCACATGTACCACATATGATGCGAATGACAATAAAGAAACCTTGACCTTGTTGATGATACTAGTGTTTGCTCTAACTAGAGGCTGGTAAGCCTAAGCTTATTGAACTTTTCTGTCCCCTGGTAAAAATTAAATAAAATTCTGCTGGAATGGTCAGATCAGTCTATCAGAATGGATGCTGAACAAGAAGAAGTAACCAAACACAGAACCCACTTGTGACCATTGGCAACTCAAAACCTTGATTATTATACAAAAGGTGGCAGGTAATCAGTCCAAAAATCCCAACCAACAGGCAGGAAATTTCAGAAAATTCCAGTTACATTACAGAAAAGGTGCAGAGAACACAATGACCTGACAACATACAGCTCAGATAACTTAAATACTAACAGGGAGAAATCACCAACAAAGGACTCAGATGTTAATATTTAACAAGGGAGTATCAAACCAACTGAAACATATGAAGGAAATGCTCTTTCAAAGTAAAACAGGAAGCCAATTGAACACATCACAAAAGCAACTGAGCATATCTTTAAATTAATCTGATGCTTGTAGAATAAATAGCTTTCGAGCTCATTCAATCCATTTTATGACATAATGCATTTTTAATAAAATTATGCAGAATCTGATACAATAATCGTATCCCAGCTCAGAAAGGCTTAATGAGGGCAGTGCCTTGGACAATCAGCAAGACTGCTCACATATGAGATGATGTCTGATATAAAACTGTTCTGAGTAAAGTTTGAAGATACGCGATAACCTGACTTTTTCTTCACCACTATCGTCAGTGCAACATGTTAAACTTGCACCACTGAGTTGCTTATTTAAAAATGTATAAAGATATACTTCCTCAAAGCTATGATTTTATTTAAAAATAAATTCCAATGAAACACTTTATACTGTATGCTTGCTTGACCTGCATCATACATGCACAAAACATATTTCCAGTGTTACAAACGTAGGTTCTTTCTTAGTTTAATGTGGTTAATGTTCTCAAACTTTGCATCTGATCTTTTATAACCTCCTGCTCACTTGTACCGTATTTTCCACTGTACCCGTGGCTCCGCCCTATAAGTCGCATCAGTCCGAATATGTCTGAAAAAGTGGAAAAATCCATAAATATGTCGCTCCGCCGTATACGTCACATCTATTATGCATCACCGCTGACAACCTGAAAATGTGGGCCGGTGTTGTGCCAAAAATCGATGGGCTGCCAAATGGCGGCCGTGGGAGCGTTCACATGAGGACTTGAATTTAACAAGATTAGCACTTAAAAACAATTATTTGTTTGCTCGAAATTATAGCAAAGGTGTGTCTCAGTTGAACTTTTACTTAATAAATGCACTTTAATGGTCAAATTAGCAGCATTTTGCTGGGGCGTTGCAGCTGGTTTGACTTGCTCCAAGCAGCGAGCAGAACAAAGATGGCAGAATATGGCAAGCAGATTGTGTCATTAATAGCTGGTGAAGATTCTCAGTCATCCAGGACATGGTAAATTCAAAAAAGTGCAATGCTTTTTTTTAAGTGCTTGCCTTGTGTTTTCTCTGCTAAGTGCAGGCGGGACATATTTTGGATGATCCTCCAGAATTTCAGAATTAACGTGTCTTTACTGATCAGTGTGGCGTGATGAGGAGTTACCTTTTACACACTGGCAGACTGGTTCCTTGGAGCTTGGTTTCACAAATGTTAATCCTTGATTGTTGCAAAACATAAATGCCTTGTCATTAGCTCCTAAATGCAGCAAGAAAATGAAAACAGAAGCTGCAGCCCACATCTTTGTCTTTGTGTGGTGTGTGGAAAACATCTGTTGGAGTGGTACGGTTTTACCTTTGACTCTGATCGGACATGAGCCAAAAACCCCTCACCCAAATGTTTGCACAACATTCTCACCTACTTACACATTGCCTGGTGGTGTCATTGTGTCTGTCTGTCTATAATGACTAAAGGGGAGACCTCCTCCCTGTTTCCTGTACTTATTTTCAATAATTCAAGGAGGAATCATTCAGTGATTCATTCATTCAGTCATATTTCTAACCTTTATACACACTTTATAAACTGCTGCCTAAAGCAAGCAGCCTAACAACTTAATGAGCAAAAGATGTGTCAAATGGAGATATGGGATTGATCTGATGGGTAAAAGCAGTGCTAGGATTCCCACTTGCAAACTTACTGCATACTGACCTTTTGCTGCAGAACCCGAGCCACAGACGCCTCAAAGTTTTGATGCACTTCAGACGGGTGTCATTGTTCAAATACCATCTTTCTGAAGTGTGTCTTCCCTTTAGCTGTGAAACCTTATTTGAATCTTTTTAGCTTTAAATGTTGTGGTAATTGGATAGATCAGACTCAGAATGCAGACAATGAAGTTTTAAAAACAAACCATTTATTATAAAAGTAAGAACAAAAGGCTGTCGAGGCAGCAAAAACTTACAACAATGGAAGGTCACGAGGGACAAAAGTACCGGCAGTCAAAACACACAAATCATAGAAATAGGTGCATCAGAGTACGTCAAAGCTGTTAAATCCTTGTTTATTTTTTGCATTCTTTGAAGGAAGGTATTACGTCTGTCGTGTTGCATGCTAAAGTTTTGAAAAAGACCTCACAAGATATGTTATTGCTCAGAGTGTGGGTTGTGGATGACACTCAGCTAATGTCACACCAAATTACAACTCAGTATCTGTCAAATCGCCAGAAGTATAGCCATTTTTGTGTTTGCTAAAGTTAATTAGCTATGACAGCCATTTTGAATCAGGTTGACTCCTATAGTTAACCATTTATAGAGCATAATGAGCTATTCCTTTCTGAGAATTCATTATGTTTGTCCAGTGGTGCATTAGATATTTTGCTAACAGACAGACAAATGACCACACACAAAAACATACTCACAGATGCAGGCATCAACACTCATATATACAGTCGTCCTTCGCTATATCACAGCTCACTTTTGTTGGATAGTTTAATTGTCCTATCATCAACTCATTAATCAATTAAGCCACACAGAGAGGATCCAAGAAGATTTTTCAACCCAGTTTACACCTTGCAAGGGGGCAGAGTTAACACACAGGCATACAAGGTGTTACATGTCACTCTGTCCAAGGTCTGCCCACGGGCAAAGAGTTAGGAAAAGCTGAAATACTCATTATCAGACAGAGACGAGGTCAAGACACAACCTCTGCTTCACAGCTCACAGTTGATGAAGGTGTCAGAGTTTATCATTTATCAGACTCCTCTCTGAGTTGACAGAAAGACTCTTGATTTCACATGCATGGTTCTATTATAATGTAACATTAGTAAGTGAAGACATCCATGACCTTTACATACCTTCCCCCATCATATTCCCCCCCGTTCATGGATTTGATCTCTTTATCAATAACTTCCTTGCAAGT